TTTGTCTGTCAATATTCTACTACTATTGGGGCTAAAATGTCAAATTTTAATGTGGATCCTGGATGTGAATATTTTAAATAGGCTTTTTTAAAAACCCCCACCTTTTCCTGATATGATGTTTGTGCTACCCACTCCCCCAGAGATTTAGAGGAATTAATCTCTTGGTTTTGTCTCCTTTCCCCATGAAATCCTTCCCAGCGGTAGCCAGTCTGCCCGTTATTTCCTGACATTTCTTTTACAGAACGCTGCTATTTTGGACTGATGGTCACAGAGACCTTCTCAATAACACGGAGACAAAGTGCTCTGCATAGCTGATAAATTATAAGCAGGCACTGCGAGTGAGCGTGATAGATTATTATAGTGGATGTGTGTGAGTCATGGTTGTTATTTTTGGTCAAAAGAATTGTGTGAACTTTTCTCCTCTATTCTGAGCACTTTGAAATGTGCTACTTTTTTTCCCCCCTAAGGTGTATGTCAAGGAATTAAGCACCACATCAGAATACTTATTTTCCGGTTCCTAGTTGTTGCTTTAGAGTCAAGGAGGTGGAAGGAGTGGAAAGGAAGGGAGTTATTTTGACAAGCAACCGACCTTGTCAATTGTTAGCAGGCTTACAGAATCATACTTAGATCTAGAAGGGACCTTAAAGGTCATCTAAGACAATCACCTCATTTTATGGATGAAAAGACTGAGGCTCAGAGAGAGACTGGCAGGGTAAGGAAGGAAGAAGTGGTAGATCGGGGATTTAAACCCCAGTTTCCTAACTCCAAATCCTGTGCTTTTTCCACTCACTGCTTCACATTTCTAGAAAATCACAAGTTTATCTACTTGAAAGTTCTCCCTCCAATCCCCACCCTCACCACGGGGTAGTTTTAGAGCTGAGATAGGCTTATTCTTGAACAGATTGCTGTGTGATTTTAATTGACCATTGTTTTTGCAGTTTATGTGAAGTCATCAGACTCTATTTTAATGGATTCCTTTTCAACAAGCACGCAGAGTAGATAATAGTCAACAATTACATTACTGGGTCTGTACCTCTCTACCAACTTTGACTTGTGTTTCATATATCACTAGAGTCATCTCTTGATGCCTTTATCACTGTTGTATCTAAATACCCAGACAGTCTAATTAAGTTATTTCCAATTACCTTGGTGAGGGAAAATGAGAGATTCTGCTCCGTCTCCTCAATGCTCTGGCCATCCCTGATTAGAAGATAAAAAAGGCTGGGAAGGTCTAACATGAAAGCATCCTGCTAGGATTTAGGGGAAGGCTCTGGCAAAGAAGGTGAATTTTGCAGCATCTCCTCAAGATGGTGATGATGAGATTGTCTAGGCTTTGTTGCAGGTGGCAAATCCCTTTCGCTCAGGGGCTGCTGCAGCATGTTCCTAGCCCAGGCAAGAGCCCAGCCGTCACAGATTGTGCCTCTGTTCCTAGTCTCACCTCTGGGTAAATCACTTCATCTCTTTGCCTGTTTCTCCATCTGTTAAGTAGGGATTATGCTTGCTGCTTCTTTGCCTCACAGGAATAGTATGAGGATCAGTGAGATAATGTCAAGAAAATGTTTGGGAGTTCTTTGGGGGGAAAGGCATATACACTGGACTCTTGATAATTGTGCTCAAGGGAGCTAAGGGCTGGGAGGGAGAGGAGGAATGAGGCTAAAGTAAAACCTTAGATAAGTAATCTCCTAACCTCATTTCAGATGCCTCCTCTATTTTCTGACTCTTTTTAAGAGCACTTCCATGGAGTTTGGGGTGGGCAGATTGGCAAGGGGGTGACAAGATTTCAACAAAATTTCTATATAGGAAACATAATTGGTGCTAGAGATTAAATACATAACTAAGACCTTGTCCTCAAGGAGCTTGCACTCTAATGGAGAGAGGGAGAGGATTTTGACATGAAAATGAATCAGTATAACACAAGATTGAGAATAGGTCAGTCAAAAAAGAGGGGCCCAGATGAAGTATTCTAGGCCAATTTCAGAAGGGAGAAATTACTTCTAGACTGTGGGGTAGAAGGAGGCTTCATAGAGGAGGTGGTACTTAAAGGAAGAGAAGGATGGCAACAGGCATGCCAGGTAAAAAAGTGGCCTATGCAAATAAGCAGGGACAGTGAGTAGACCAGATTAACCAGAATATAAAGTCCATAAGTGGGAATAATATTAGATAAGACTGGAAAGGGAAGTTGGAAGCCTGCTTGTGGAAGACCCTAAATTCCAGGTTGAACAGTTTATATTTTATCCTATTAACAATGGGTAGCCACTGGAGATTTTTGAGTAGAGGAATGATATATTCAAAACTGCTTTAGAAAGATGATTTTGTATGCTTAATATAAATGTATAAATAGAGCCTATATCAGATTGCACGCCATCTTGGAGAGGGGGGAAGAGAGAGAGGGAGAGAAAATTTGAAATCAAAATCTTATGGAAGTGAATGTTGAAAACTAAAAATTAATAAGTAAATTGTTTAATTAAAAAAAAGAAAGATGATTTTGGCAGCTATATGAAGTATGGATTGGAGTAAGGAGACATTAGAGACAAGAGCATCAATTAGAAACCTATTATAGTAGACTAGGAGAGAGGTAATTCAGACCCCTGAATGCTGAGTCAAGGTCATTGGGAGTCCAGGTAAGCCTTGGAGGAAGAGGTAGCATATGGGATTAGAGGCTGTTATTGTAGCTTTGTTTTTTTTCTCCTTTGAAGTTTGAAACATGGAAAGAGAAGATGGCCAGACCTCAAAGGTGTTCAGCCTTATACTAAAGGGACTGACTGTAGGAGTCTTCAAGGTACCAAACTCAATAGTCACTGTCAAATTTGTGTTCAGAATAATTAGCTCAATTGTCTTTCAGGCAAAGTACATAGCACCGGAAGCAACTTTTGAAATAGTCAATTGGTTGGCTTGTCTCTTCTGTTCCTTATTTTTCTACCTGCAAAATGAGGGTTAATCCTTCTCATGCCCCCACCATTTTTTTTCTTTACCTCATGAGACTCACCAAAATGATTTGAGTCCAGTTATTAGTATCATAACCCTCTGCTAAAATGGGACTGAAAAATGAGATCCTATTTAATAATAGTTAATTGAAAATATTATACATAAAAAGTGGATGGCAATTTCTGTCTGCCCTTTAAAAATACTTTGTATTCCGAAGAACTCAATAGTGCTCTGTTCATTGAGCAAGTAATCTTCACAAATAGGTAGGACACAGGCATTATTATCCCTCTGTATTCAGACTTTAAATGTCGGCACTTACTATTCCAGGTCCCTCCTGAGACCTGTGACCATTAGTTTCAATCTTGGCCTGTTGCCTTTGTTCTCTCCTCAGAAGGGTGGTATTCTTAGTGTCTGGCATGAGTATTTGTCAGGGGAAAGCTTTTGAAATGGAGCTTCTTAAGAGTGGAACCCAGGCCGACTGGTTCCGTTTTAGGTACTCTGGCCTATCTAATCATCCATTCATTCACTTGCTTTCTTATGTGCTCACTGTAATTCACAGCACAGGACTAGATGTTGTGAAGGGATGCTAAGGAAGGATGCTGCGGTTTCTATTCTCAAGTAACTGATAGTCTTCTTAGGGAGAGCAGAGAAACACAAGAAATGATTAAAGACTAGAGACAAGTTATAATCATTAAAATGCAAAATTGTATAGTGCATAAAGCAGCAAGAGAAGGTTTCTCAGAAAAGAACCTTGAGCTGGGTCTCGAAAGGAGTAGTGAGTATTGGTTGGTAGAGAGGAGGTGGAAATTCTAATTAGGGCTGGCAGAATGAACAAACACAATAAAGGAGATAGAATGGAAAGAGGTGAGAAAACCTGGGTTTACGTTCTGACTCCGCCTCTCACTATCGTGTGTGTGTGTGTGTGTGTGTGTGTGTGTGTGTGTGTGTGTGTAATGGACCCCTTTTCTGAATAATGCTTTTAAAAAAATTGAAGGAAATGCTAAATTTCAGTTAGAGATTAGTAAGAATAAAAATGTATTTATTTCTTATCCAAGCTCATGGACCCCCTGAAATCTATTCACAGACCTCATGGGTCTGTGGACCCCCAAATGAAGAACTCCTGGATGTGTAAGGTCCTGCTAGCTCTAAATCTATTATCTAGTAATCCTAGGGGGACTATCAAGCTATAAGTATGTGGCAGTATTATGAAAAGAGCATCTAGCCTTGAGAAAGAGTAGGAGTAATGATCCAGTTATATTGGTAAAAATAGCCATTATCCAAATCATTGCTAAAAGCATTCAGCAACACAGTGACAAGCACAGATTCCTGGGGCCTTGAATGCTAGCCTGAACCATTTAGATTTGATCTACTAACAATAGGGAGTCATTGTAGGATCTTGAGGCAGGAGTGGTATAACGAAGCCAGTGTTTGAGAAAGATTATTCTAGCGACAGGGTAAAGAGGTAGTGAGAGTAAGGAAAAGAGGTGGCAAGGAGACCAACCACGGAATGAGCTGATAAGAGCTGTGACATACATGTCAGCTCCTGGAAGGACTTTCATTCTATCATGCTTGTAATTCCAATACTCGCCACTAGAACTGTGCACAAAGTTTCATGAGCTGCAGTACTGAAAAAAGAGATCTGTGTCAAGATGCATGTTGAAATAATACTAGAATTACCTGTTGTTTTCAATAATAATAAATAATATCTAAAATAATATTGGATTCCAAACACCCTGGCCTAAATACAGTACTAAATTTACCCTTTCTCATTCAACTTCTAAGATCCTATAATAGTGAATCCTTTTATTAAATGGATATACTTTTCCCATTTATTCCATATTATTCATTGGTTAAAAAAAATGCTGTGCAGCTCTATGTTGCTTTCCTGTCTGCAACGCTGGTGGTGTTTTTTTCCCCAGCTGCTGTACCTCAGGGTCCTCCTGTGTGTGTTTATTTTAATGGTGTTTATATGGTTCTGCTGTTTTTCAATGCCCGCATCCATAAAAATAATAAATCCTTGAGCTTATGCACTCCTTTATTTTCAATTGTGTTTCATAATGCGCTGATACTTCCAGGCTAATCTTGCACAACTATTGAGTGATTCTCGGGACCGAAATAAACATCTGGGAGAAGAAATTAAAGAACTTCAGCAGAGACTTGGAGAAATACAGGGGGACAATAAGGTACTGTAAGAGCATCCCCTTGTGATTGTGGGCTGGAGTTTTATGTTCAGCACATCTGAAAAATGGAACGCTGTGTTTGTTGGGAATTTGTTTATAGATTTTACATTTGCAATGAAAATTCACAGTTTAGCATTTCTTATCTTTATTACATTCTCCTTTTTTTTTTTTCTGTGTGCCTTCTGTGTTACTTGAAAATATCGTCATAGCCCAGTTCAGAAGTTTCATGATATTCAACTTGGTGGTGAAAGAACAGCATTGTGGTCGAGGGGGAAATAGAACACAAATGCCGTACTTGGTCGGTCTCTCGCTCTCTGTCCCCCTCCCCCTTTACAAATAATGGATTTGTGGCTCAGATGATTCGGAATTATTCACATTCAGCTTAGAATTTTAAGCAGTCATCCTACTAATTATGTTCACATAACCAATTTATTTTATTGCTAAATTTGGCAATTTGTATGGAGCATTGCTCAAAATCCACTGCTCGGCATTAATCAAACTCCCCTGTTGGCAACGTTAATTATAAAATATGAACTCGTAAACTCCAAACTAAATTGTGCACTCATAGTCCTAGCTAAAGCTGTGCATAAAAGTACAATTGAGAAAGGTTGTGTGTGTGTGGGTGTGTGTGTCTATGTGTGTGTGTGTATGTGTGTGTGTGTGGAAGCTATTGAATTCTAACGGGCCCCCCAAATAATAGCCCTCTTTGCCAGGATAGCTTCAATTTCTAGCCCTTTGCATCAGGTTAAAGCTTTGATGCTTGTTTTAAAAAAACTATCTTCAGATAGGTTTTTGGTGAGATCTCACCTATACACAACAAATTCCTTAATAAATAATGCTTAGAGGCTTAATTTGGGGGAAGTTGTATGCATATATGACCTGAGGAGAATGTGGCCCAGGCTATAGATTGGCATTCTTTAAACTGTCAGGATATCCTAGCTTAAGAGGCTAGATTTAGGAAAGGACATTCTATTGGGAAATCTTTTTCATGTTAACCCTTTCAGTTTTCTCTTACCATGTCTTTGCCTAGCCCCACTATCAAACATGACTTTGTAGCTTAGCTATAAAATGAGAACCCAAGATTATGCTATAACTCAGGGAAGAGAGAAGAGAGAAAAAAAAATCACACACACACACACACACACACACACACGGAAATTTGGCATTCATGTTTAAACAAAACAAAACCAAAAACAAACCTCCTTATTAAAATACATATACATGTAATAATAGATAAAAAGCTGGGCATACTGCTCCTGGAATATTAGATGTATACATTTTTAAAAATCATTTACTTCTGTAATAATGTAGGTATTTGCTTGATAATAAGAGCAAGTCATTCTTAATAACAAAATAAAGCCTTCCAGAGATTTGAAAATTTGTAAAGGACAAAACAAAAACAGCACCGGACAAAGTACTAACTGAACATATTTTAATGTCATGATTTCTTCTCCTTTGCCATCATTCGCCAGTATTTCTTTTATATTTTATTTTCTCTTTTAGTTTTCTCAATCAATATTTTTATGTGTATTATTTTCTGCCTCACCGTTCCTCTTCTCCCTCCCCCCTTTTTTTTTATTCCTTCCCACATTTGGTCTGTATGGATATCAGCTCACATATGTGGGCATATTTAAGGAATTTGGGGGTGATGTTGGATTTGTTGGGCGAGGGTAAAAGGTAGGACCTTCTTTCACATTGCTTGCCCTTCGGATCTTCCTTTCATTCACTGGCTACATTTATCAAATTTTTTACCTCAGGGTAGGAATTTCATGACTCATATTCATGGGTTGAGAAGCAATTAACCTGCCAAAAGGTACAGTGAGAATGTTATAATCTTTAGCAGACCCCATGTACCATTTGTGCCTCCTCTTCCCCCAAACTAAACACAATTAGACCCCAGGATTCTTTTGATTCTCATTTGCATCTAAAATTATAGGTCTGGTTTTTATTTTAAGTTTCATGTGATGTGAGAGTCACAGGCTCCCCTTGAGTCCTCAGTTTTAAACCACACATAAGGCCAGATTAGTCACTTGGTAATGGACAGCAGCATTCCCTCAGAATTCAGAAGCCCAGGATTGATAGGTAGTCTAGCTAGAGCAGCAGTAAAGGGCTAAATAACCCTTAAGGTTACAAGCCAAGGTATCAGCCATTACTGGGTGTTTAAACAGTACTTGTTTGTTTCATTTAACTTGCCTGTTCTCCCTTAGGGTGGGTAGCAGTAGAAAAGTCTTTTGTGGGGGGAAGATGAAATCAGTCAGTTCTTTATAGTGTGTGGACATGTATAATTCCATAATTCCAAGGGTTTGGTCAGCCCAATTAGATGAAGAGGCTAGTCTGGGGACCTTGAGAAGTTTCTCCAGACTGAACAGAGATGAACCAGAGAGATCAAAGGGTAAAAGAGCCCACTCACAGAATGGTTCAAGCTAGTTAAACTCAAAGATACTAAAGTAAAGTGTTGTCGGAAATAGTTCTCCACTCCAATTGGAACCCAAAGGACTTCATGCATTATTTTATGGGTGATTGTTAAAACAGCAGATTTTTATCTCGGCATTGCCGTTTTAACTGACGACCCTTATCTATATTTTGGGAAGCACAGATTCTAGATGTTAAGTACATTTAAAAAATAAGATGACGGAAAATTACTTGCCTTGGATATTTTAGGGTAGACTAATTTTTCCATTTGTTCAGCTAGAGCCTTGTAACCCTACAAGCCATAAAACATCTCCAAACAGCCTCTTGAAAGATTTGTTGCCCCCCTCGATTACTTACAAGCAGTTCTCATGAGAATAGGGGTTTGGAACTTAGGGGGCTGCCCATGACTGAACACTATTTGCCATCAACTCAGACCAACTTCCAAGAAGAATTTGGGGGTCAGCACAAATGCAGGGGCCCCTTCTCATCCCTGTAGCATGCCATGAGGTATTTAAACAGAAACCTAGTTAGGCACCATCCTCTTCCTTGAAAGTTATGCTCTTCAAAGGTTAATGAGGAAACAGGAGGCTGACTCCTCAGCCAAATGTGGATTGTAATCTCCACAAATCACCACTGGGAAACCTTGCTGTGAATTGCCAAGGGCATTGTTCAGAAAGAAAGAGCTATTATGTGAAAGGCCAAAAGACCCAACTTCCAGAAGAAACCTAAGAGGAATCCATAGATACACAATAGGTACATTATACTACTGTATATGGCAGCCACCCTATCTAGTTACTTGCTAGTACTTCATAATCCACCAAGTTTCATTGTGAATAATAGTATGGGGTATAGAAGGAGACACGATTTGGGAGAATGCCCATAGACTGAGAAGGACTAGTTTGGTACTTCCTAATCTTCACTAGAGTGAAAATTGGGATGGGAAATAGAAGGAAGGATGGAAGCACAAGGGGAGTTATAGGAGCAGAGAATCATAGACATTCATTTGAGAACCACTAGGCAGGAACATTACATCTCTGGGCTTTTCTGATGAATGAGGCTATGCTTTTCTTTTCTTTTCTTTTCTTTTTTTTTTGCCTGGCACTAGAACACTGAAGTGTAGATATCCATCTTGGAATAGGATTGAACCTATACAAGTCATCCACCAAGGATGTGAAAGGTTTCATTTTTCTTTATTGATTTAAATTTGTTGACCCAAAGTATAAGTGAAATTTGAAGGCACAGTGTTGTTCTCTGTAGTTACCAGCATAAGGGAAGCAGTGAAATTGGGAACTAACTGGGCATTGACAGGTATAGACCAACTTCTTCATCACCCTTAACACTGTTGTCTTCACTATGGTTTTTCTTCTGCCTGGCTGCCTGACTCCCAAAACCATGTATGCATTTAATGTCCCCCTTACAGAATATGCACTTAATAAGCTATACCAGGAGAGGCAACTAATGTGCTGATAGAGACAACTCACAGTTGTTTATTCTGTATCTTTTCTTTTTGTTTTTTTTTTTTCCTTTAGTTTAAAGATTGTGGCATTTTGGTGCAGAATACCAATAATGCAATATTGAGCTTGCGAAAGCCAGAAAATGTAAGCATTAAGACTCTGACAATGTCATACAAGATTTCCTTTGCCAGCTTTTGTGAATTTAAATTTAGCTGTTGTGATAATGCATAAACATAGTGTTTTGCATTTAATAATGAGTTTTATATTGCACCAGCTGACAGTCTTTAAGTGTCCTGATTTTATCGGATGCTGGAGCAGTAAAGTGATAGTAGAGTGGTACTTTGTTGACGTGTGACTCTCTGATTGACTTAGAAGGTAAACCAATTAACTAAAAACCATGAACCAATAACAAGGGTCCAATGGGAGTACAAATGACTAATTAAAATATAGTTTGTTAAAATAGTACTCAGCTGTAAATGTTTGTAATGGCCCTGGGGTTATATTCAGAGAGTACCTTGTAAATAGTCCCACTATTAGTTGTAAAAGAAATTAAGGTTTTCTAGCCCGCATGAAGCCTGAAAGAGACACTTTGATGAAAATAGAGGTCACTTTAGGGTACCATATAAATTAATTACAAAGTGCTGAAATAGGCAATGAAAAGACCACCTTCCCCTTTCTTTTCTATCCTACATAGTCTAACTTGTTTTCCTCTAGGGACACGTGATTATGAACCACAGGCAGTGCAGAATTAGTTGAGAAATATTTAGCCACTCCAACAGCCATGACTAGTTAAATATCTTTGAGTGTTCTATTGTACCATGACTAACTTGAATTCAGTCTTAGTAGATATATTTAAGGTATAACATGTCCCCTCAATTCCAACATCACTTACAGCATACTATGATTCTTGAATATTTTATTATAGCGTGACAGATCTATAGCTGGAAAGAACCTCAAAAGCCTTTTAACCCAATTTTCTCATTTATTGTTGAGGAAAATGAGACCCAGGGAAGCTGAGTGACTTGTCTAGGGTTGTTTAGATAGTAGGTGATGCACTTGGGATTCCCAGGTCTCCTTATTCCATTTCGGCATTCTTTCCAGTGTAACCTAGTGACAAAATTACATGTTTTTAATGTG